TTGTGTATGGGGTGATCGAGTGGTCACAAAATAGAGTGTATGTCCATAGATGCAGACTACGCGTTGATTCTATTATATACTGATTAATCTGTATTCAAGGCAAGTTAATTGTATTCCAGTTAATAATGTCGTTCTTATGCGAAGGTAGTTCGATTAGACCATCAATTAAATATCACACTTTTGATTGAGTTGAAACCACAAATACTTTCTTACCAGTACCATTTTTTATCACGGGATACTCCCTTAAACCAAACTAATTTATGCCAAGTATGTGTTGGTTAGGATATACAAGTATATAGTACGATGAGATATACTACCGAACTTTCTTAGCTTGGAAATTATTGTAATACTCCTCTTACTTAAATTAATTAGCGATTGAACGACAAAGAACTAGTCTATCTGATCTTTTGTTTATTGTATTGCATCCTTCAAAGTAATCAAAATGGCATGATTATATTTCCTAATTTTTGTGTATTATTAATAACAAACTTTCGTTTAGAAGCTGTTTAATAATTTGTTAAATTAGCTACTAAAGTGTCTTACTTATTAGAAAGATGGAGTAATTAGGAATTTGATTTGGAGCTAGCTGTAATGAATGGACTTGCAAGACCATAAAATACGCGTAATGTGTGTATGAAGCACGTGACTAAAAATGCTAGATGAATAAACTTTTAGTAACTAATAGGCTTGTTCACGGATCGGATATCCGAATACTCGGATATCAGAAAATGATATCGAAATCCAATCCGAAGATTTCGGATATTCCATTATCCAATATTAAGTAAAATTGATTATGATTACTCTCTAAATTTCACTAATTTTACCACTTTTTTATCGTTAAGTTGTACAACATATTTTAACACAATAGTAGTCTTTTTGCAATAAAAATTATCATCAAATATATTAAGAATATTATAATAAGTTAATAATATAGGGTCAATTTTATATGAACAATTTAAAAAATTTATTTATATTTCACTATTTCAGCTTTATATTTCGGGTATCGGATATCCGAAATTTTGAAAATTAATATCCAAATCCGATATCCTCTTTTTCGTATCGAATATCCAAAAATTCAGATTAGTTGCAGATTGGATTTTCGGATTCTCGGATAGTTTTATACAGGCCTACACACTAATACACTATTATAAGAATGAGACATGGGAGAGTTAAATGACAAATATTCCGAAGAAATATATAGAAATATGATAGAGATGCCAATTATATTCTTATTATATCCAAGATTGGTCTCATGTTCCGAACGTCCATCTTGCGGGGGCGTGTAAAGGATAATGATATCACCAATATCATTATCCCTTGATTTACTCCTTGCATTGATTTACACAATTAGGTTAATTGTCAAAGATTTCTCTAACTATTGTCTAATGTATCTAGACATACATTTTTCTAAGGTATCTAGTCATAGCCTAATGCTTATTTATGTATTATAAATACTCTTGTATAATCATCAAATATAATTTAATTAAGCTTTTTTTTTAAAAAGATATAATTTAATTAAGCTTTCCAACATTCTCTTACTCATAACTCTATCAAAACATACTCATCAAATGTTTCAAATCAAGTTTACACAATCTCGTGATTTTAGAGGGAAAAAAACATTGTATGTTATCCTACATGAAAAAGAAAATGAGACTATACAAGAAATATATATCATGTTCATGACCGTTATGCATTCTTAATGTTTTGTTCATAAGCATCTAACATATACTTCTTATAGTATAATCCCTATTTTTGCTCCATTATTTCGCAAAACATCCTCGATCATATTAGCTTTCTAATTATTGTTCTTCATGAGCAATTAAATGATTTAACGCTTTTAAAAAACATAAACATCGCTAACTTTGTAACTTCAAACGTACAGTATAAGAGATTAATTAATTTGTTCACGAATTGAATGAAGTTTTAAAAAATAAGTGTAGTGGCTTTATTTTACATCGTATTGTCAATTGATAGTCTTATCATGGAATTGCAATTAGTGCATGCTTTTGAGACCAGAGTGCGTGCTTTATATTTGGAAGCCACATTATTAAGTAAACAAAGAAATGAGTCCACACAATTTAACCTATAGTTCAAGAAATGAATGATCTTTGTGTCGCAATCTACTTTTTCATCTATTCATCATTTTTTAGGTGATTTGGCATATCAAGTTATCAACATCATTCGAATCTGTGATTATGCATATATGGTGAATATACTTGTCCCTTACGTTTGATAGTATGCATACTATGCATAGAGATTTTTTTATTTTCAATCACCATGATATATATATATATATATATATATATATATATATATATATATATATATATATATATATTTTTGTTGTTTAGAGAGCCACAAGGACAGGGGTGAGAATCGATCCTAAGATCTCCTGAGATCGAGAGGGAAGCTCTAACCACTTGAGCTATCCCTCACTCTCTCAATCACTATGATATATGATATTATATATTGGGGATTATTTTAGTTAGTTGTATTTTGCACTAATTAGTTGTGATGATCAATCGGTGCCTCATTAGTCTAATATTAGGTTCGTATAAATTCTTTGTCGATATACACATTAGGGAAAACAATTTCTACTAAATTTTAGCATAGTATCAAAGTCAAGCTTAATTTTAATAATATTTAAAAATGTACTTGGGCCAATTGCAAACGTGAACCAGTTACGTTGTACACAATAGTACATTTTTATTGATGTACGTCTTACGAAATTAAACACCGAGTATTATTGGGAAAAAAAAAAAAAAACATTATATGAGGTATTTGCGATTGTATATTTTAAATAAATTATTAAAAGTATGTAATGAACATTATATACATTGTGTAAAATTAAAGTGTTGCAATTATATTCAAACTGACGATGATGTGAATCGAGTCCCCTTTTTTATAACTATTTTTATTGCTTTATTTAGGTACCCTCCTGGTTTTACCTTACTTAAAGTAGGGGTTTTACAAGTGAGTTTTTAATAATGTTTTTATTATTTTCTTAGTAGTAGTTATGGGGCCTTGGGCTTCCAAAGTTGTGTTAATTAATTAGTGGGCTCTCTTCGTTCATTAATTAATTATTAGGGCTTTTTATTTAGTTTGCTTGCAGGGCAAGTAGGATAGATTTATTTTTCCTATATATACTAGTTGTATGTCAATTATTTTAGGAGGACGTTTATGAAATAAAAATCAAATTGTTGAGTTTTAACTCGAAGAGAACTTTGTTAAGGTTCAAACTAGTTGTTAAGTAGGGTTTTAGGATCGTTGCTCCTAAGATCAAATTTAGAAGTCATTGCCTTCTAAGACTATCCTAAAATCACTCAAATCCTTCCACTAAATATAAATTGTCAGAGATACGCATCAGACGAGATATCACAAAATTGAATATAAAAATATATGGACCATTCCACTATACAATATCTACCAATGACATTTAATACAATGGTTCTCATATCAGAAAGGGATTGGTTTAATTTGAACATGCTTGGTTTTGTATCTTGGACAACTCCATGTCTACATCCAATAATATATTCTCATCCCTCACTAGCTGAGTAGCTGGTCTATTTATTAAAAAAATCTTGACTCTAAAAGTATATATATTGGCCCTCACCTTCTTCTTTCACATCTTAATACTGTCCTTCCATATTAATTACTTCATACAAGTATTAGATAACCTAACATATAAGGATTGGAGTGCATATACGATATCTTTCTAAAGATTTTATTTTTTATTTTTTTTATTTTTTATTTTATTTTTAAAAAAAAAATAGGAAAATGATAAACATAGCCCTTTAGGAAATATTAAGGATAAATAAACATTAATTATACCGATCTGCACGTGATTTTGTCATGAATTTCCAACTTAATTTCATTTTAAGAAGTGTTTTTAATGCTTATATATAACCTAAGGGCTACATATATTATTACCCTTTTTTTTATATAGGCCACATATTCCATTATTCAATAGTATACGTTACAAAAAAAGAAAAAATCGATATCTTAAAGAAACATAATGAAATAAATATAACAAAACACGATGATTAAATTTAAAGTGTTGCAACTAATACAAGATAGAAAGAAAGTAAAATAAGATAGAACATGTTATATTGCAAAAATAAGTTAATAAGTTTATATTATAGCTCAAAAATAAGTTATTAATAAGTTTGAGAACAACTTCTAACAATATCTAGCAATAAATCGTGGCAGGACTAAAAGTTTTCTTCGTAGCTCATATTTTATTATCCTCTCAAGACACTTGTATTCATCTGGAAAGAGAATGAATGAATGATACAGAGAGTTCAATCTTCTTTTGCATAAGCTCGCACTGTCATCTTTTCTGACTCCGTTATAAGTAAGCGTTACATATTACTCCCTTCGTATTTTATTATTCAGTATTTGCTCTATTTTTTCATATGCGGAATTTTAAGAGAAATAGTAAAAAATAATAAAAAAAAATGAAGAAAGTAGGGTTGGTGGAAGAATAAAGTATGATAGATGAGAGGAGAGAGGAGGATTTCTCTGCCTCTAATAATTTGAGTCATAAATGACTCTAATAATAAAGCGTTGGTATTAAATTGTGTTTATATGGTATCATCTAAATACCAAAAAGGAACTATATTGATACCAACAAAACATTTTTGCATTCGTTGGTACTTCTGAACTTGTTAGATTTCAAGAAAACTCCTCAATGTGGAGTGTGTACTATTGATCAATCTGGTGTTTTGATTACAAGTGCGGAAACGTGAAACGAAAAGAAAAAAATAAAATCCCTAGGATCAAAAACCTTAAGCTCTGATATAATGTTAGATTTTGGGAAAACTCCTCAATCTGGAGTGTGTACAATTGATCAGTATATATATGGTTTATAGTACTAGTCCTAATCACGTTAGAAAACCTAGTACGATAAGGCTACAAAATATACACAAATATTATCATAACTTAATACGAACTATTATCATAACTTAATACGAACTATTATCATAACTTAATACGAACGCGTGTTATTAGTCATTCATGACTCAAATTATTATAGGTAGAGAATTCCTTAGGAGAGCGAATATGAAAATATTAAAGTATGATAGTAGATTAGTAGGGGGTCCATTACGATAGAAAAAATTAGTAAAATATTGTGAAAGATTTCAAAAAAAAAAAACAAGTTATAAAATACGACTACAAAAGAAAAGTGAAGCAAGTAATAAAATCTGAAAGGAGTATTATGTAACAAAAAAAAAAAAACCAAAAGAGCCCACAAAATATTAAGAAAAACAAAATAAATAAAGAAATCCACCTAAGATACATGCCAGATCAACAAGCAAATAGTCATCAAAGCCTGTTATAAAACCCCACCTCTTCTTCTCTTTTCTTGAATCAAAAAAATTAACAGAGCAAAATAGTAAGTTATTGAAGGGGAAACAACCATTCCCTTTCCCCTTCATCAAATCCCCCAAACATTCTTAAACTCCCTTCTTTTCAATTCCCTCCTCCAAACCAAACCCAAAATGGTGAATCTGATTCCCAAGTCCCCAGAAAATGAACTGACAAATGATCAGTTACTAGAGGAAACAAACAGGGTATTAGGGAAAGGGAATGGGAAAAAACAGGGGAAAAGGTTTGCAGTATTACTTTGTGCAGATGATTCAGAGTATGTAAAGAAGAAATACGGAGGGTATTTTGGGGTTTTCGTAAGAACGTTAGGGGAAGAAGGAGAAAGCTGGGATGTTTACAGAGTAGCAGAAAATGAATTCCCTAAAGAAGAGGAATTAGGAATGTATGATGGTTTTGTTATTACTGGAAGTTGTAGTGATGCTCATTCTAATGATGTTTGGATCTGTAAACTCGTTAATCTACTCAGGAATCTGGACTCTTTGAAGAAGAAGGTTCTTGGCATCTGCTTTGGTCATCAGGTATTTTTATTTTTATTAATTGTCATTAATAATTAATTAATTTGTTTTTCGAGATATGGTCAGAATCATGCTGTTGATGTGTTGATACCTTAATTACAGGGACGTGTCCCCTAGAAATAGTAAAAATTAAAAATGTTTTTTTGTTTTGCTTTGGTTAATTTGAATTTTGAAACTAATCCTGTGATCATTTATAACGTGACTATTGATTCTGAATAGAAAGAGTAATTTTTCTGTTTGTTTTGGTACATTGCCTAGTTATGGAGTAACCGGCGCAAATCAAGTACTTAATTAACTAGTTTAGCTAGAATGAGCTAGACGTGTGATGAATATACTTAAATTCGATTGATTTAAAATACAATACTAGTATTGTTTAAGGCAATTTACAGTGCTGCCAAAAAAATGCGTCAACTCAATTTGCGTTGAGAGCATGTATAGAGCATAAATTTGTTGAAGGGAAGAATAAATTTGGTGTTGTTATAACAGTTTTGTCGACAAATTTAAACGATTTTCTTGCTGAAATATGGGCAAAGTTGACGCATAATACCTAACCATGTTGAATATGAGTGGATTCTATACGTTATATTGTACACCTAGGCTATTCCCGTGCGATGTACAGTTAGAATTAATATATCTTGTAATGTTCTGATGTATGTTCAATTGCATTACATTATTGTATATGAAATTAGAATTTATAAAATGATTTACATTTAAGGAAAGTAAAAAAAAATTGAAACCACGATCAAACATCAAACAAATTAGGTATGTGAAACTATAATTTAGGAGAGAAATTTGGTTAATTGAATTTTATATACACTTTTATACATTGAAGTCAAAAGTGTAGATAAAATTAAAAAATAATAACATCATTAATAATTGATGAAATCACACATTAAATTGGAGGGAAATTTTTTAATGTGAGAATGATACGTAGGATAATTTCAGAGTTAATGATGTCAGCAATATTTTGTTTTAGTAATACTTAATAAATATGGAATTGAAAATAGCAAGGCTAGTAGAATTTACCCATAATGCATTCCTTTATTTTAAAGGAGTCTTTCACGTTATTTTTTGGGCTACTGTATAAGGCCGAAATTTATACATTGTTACTACGATAGTTTACCATTTTATCCCTTTGATTAATTATCTTCTCTCCCTCCGTTCCTTCTCTAAGCTATTCGCCAAAGGACCACTAAACTTTGCTAACTCGTGGTCCAGTAATTGTACAAGCTGACGAGTTGTTAGGGTAAATTAGAGCCTCAATAGTATATTGTATGAAAATGGTCTACCACTTTCCTTATTGCGTAATAACGTATTAGCTCCTCTATCTATTAATTAAGTGTTAATACATCATTTTGAAAAGTGTTCTTAGCTTATTAAATAATTTACAAAGTACACGTACAGTATGTGTTTAAATCCAAAAAAGGCTAAATTATATAGTCTTAGATTCTTAAGTAGCTTATAGTGTACCAATTAATATGAATTGATAAGCTTAATTTTACGAGTTTTACAATTAATAAGTGGGGGAAAACAATCAAGTGGGCCTTTCCAACGATGCGAAGCCCTATATAATTTTTTAATTGTTGATAATTTGATTTTTTTTTTTGGTGAAATTGATAATTTGATATTAGTGGTGTAGATTTTGTAACATGAAACATGAGTTAATTAAACAAGTCACTTTCTAATATTGCAGGGTTAGCAAAGTCTCTTTCTATCTTGCTGGCTCCTATATACTTAGGTTTTTTTTTTTTTTTTCACAAATATGATATGGAGTACTCTGTAACATATATCTATGACATTTTAATTTTTAAAATTCTTTAGAAAAAAAACTCAGGCAATTAGTACATACAAAATAATACATTACGAAATTGCTTATTTATAGCTAATAGCTCATTATTTTTTTTAAGAAAAATAAAAAAAACACTTTTAACATTCGGGTATACAATATCAATCTAAGTCAAATTCATGTCGGCAAATTACTAGATCTTGTAATTTGACTTGCACTATTAAAATACTATTGTTAATGGTTTTTATTTGCTTACTTGTTCTTCATTAAGTTTAGGTAATGCTGCCGGATACTAGTGGGTCCACTTGCTTTCTATGAGCATTTAGGCCATTTTAGATTTAAAAATTATGGGCTACTTGCTGGTTTTCAAACCCTAACTAATACAGTAGGAGAGGAAGATTGGCACTCATATTTTTATATATTACCTCTGTATCATTTATTTTTTATTACCAGTTCAACTTTTAAATTTGCTGCAAATGACATTACTTTTACAAGTATAAAGTAAGATATGTGACAAACGATAAGCTGGAGGAAAGGAAAAAATTGCAAAATTTTAAATCGTCATCTTGTTTGGTTCATAATACATTCTCATTTATAATTCGTTTCCACGTAATCATTCCAACGCTGTTACTATACTTATGTAACAAACACTTGTTGCTTCTTGTTTGAGCAGATATTGGGCCGAGCATTGGGAGGGAAGATTGGGCGGGCTAGTTCGGGCTGGGACATTGGGCTTAGGACAATTAATCTCTCATCTTCATCAAATAAATTCATCTCAACTCTCAAAATTCCTTCTACGCTCAACATAATCGAATGCCACCAAGATGAGGTTAGTACTTATTAGTAGTAATTAAGGAAAAAACTACACTAATTGCTGTTAATTAACACATCAGAATTATATCAATCTTACATATATTTTCTAAAGTATTTCATGTAATTTTTTTTTAAAAAAGGTGTTAGAACTTCCTCCCAAAGTTGAAGTGATAGGTCGGTCCAACAAAACTTCGGTTGAGATGTTTAGATATGGTGACCATATGATGGGCATTCAAGGTCATCCCGAGTACAACACGGACATTCTTCTACACCTAATCGATCGCCTTCTACAAAAGAATTTTATTGTGGTATGTTATCGACATACTTGTACTTCTTCGTCTCATAATAATAATAATCTTAAGCATTTATTCCGTAACACTTAAAAAGGTGTTAATAATAACCACGAGTTGATGCTATAATGGTGGCTAATAATTGAATGTAATTGGCAGGATGCTTATGCTAATGAGCTGAGGGCTAAGTTTATGGAGTCGCGTGATCCGGACAAGGAAGCATGGAGAAAGCTTTGTGTCAATTTTCTTAAGGGAAGATTGTGATGGTAATTAAGCCATGATTAAGGCTCTACATTCATGTAGTAGCAAAATTAAATAAATTAGTGAGGGAAGATCAAATTTGTAGATGTATATATTTGGTGTTATGAACTACGTACTTATTTGATTACTACTTGTAACAAGTATGAATTAGTTTCGAGGAACCATTAGGTATTGCATGTTATTTAGGGAGTTTTAATTTCTATGATTCATGAGTGTAAAATCAAAATTGTTTTGAAAAACTTCTTGCCTATGAAATTTCACTCTTAGCTTAGCTTGTTATCACAAACGTTAGCAATATATGAAATTTCTCAAATTCTTATTTACTGTACTCTTTAACATTCTCAACTTGACGGCTATATAAATTGAGTTAGGTTGAATCTTGTATATACAAGATAGGACCAGCCGGGACATTGTATGATAAAATACTCTTTAACATGTGATTAAAGTTATATGTTTTTCATTTCGATCATAATACAAAAGAAACTATATGCTTCAGAAATTAAAAGCGGTGCATTTATTTATTTGATCAAGTATACCTAATTCTATGACCAAGTCATTTACATTAGGCAAGGCAAACTTGAATGATCACTATAATATTGTCCAAATACAAAATGTTGGCTTTGATTGCATTAGCTTGCATGCTTCAACATAAATAGGTAAATAACTTAATCAAAGATTACGTTGAAAACGTGACTTGTGCATCCAAACACGTACGGAAGGGAATAATAATGAACGTATTGAAATTGTCAATTTCCTTAATTAATAGCATTATATCATCATTATGTCGATTATCCATTCTAATTAAGACTAAGCATCACTTAATGTAATGTAATTTCTAAAAAGTCCTAGTTTTTGGCCAATTACAAGCGTTGAAATTAAATATTGCACGGTCTTATTCGATATTCCTTTAGTCTACGACCTTTCCTTCTTCATATATATGTAAGTTTGAAAAACATTTTTTATAATTTATGTTGTTAGTCTATGGACTGGAGGGAGGCTAATAAACATTAGACTCAGCCTCTTATGCTTCTTTAATTCATTGACTTGCTCATTGAACACTAGTTTTACTTCATATTTTCAAAGTTTCCATTTTGTCTGTTTTGTTTCGTTTGAGAAATTGAGAGGTCATTATTTGCAAGTCTATTGGGTTAACGAAGGTCATGATCCATCATATAAATAATCCACAAAGCACATAATTTCTCGGTCATGACTTTTATTGCTGTTAAAATTTGACTCCTTACCATATTATATCTGCAGTGAATAATTAATTAACTTTATGATCGACTAGATATATGCCTATATCCACCATCACTTTTACCTAATTTGACGTGTCTCTTTATTACATCCTTTGTTTTTTTATATGATTGCAATACGTTTTATAATTAAGCACTTAATATGATTATTTTATTTGTGTTTAAATTATTTTAGCTAATTTTTTTATTTATCTCATAATTAATATCACACATGTCAATTAGAACTACGCATCAGATGGTGTGGTGATCGAATCCTAGATTTTTTATTTTTAATTGTTGGCTAGGAGTTAAATGCATATCAAATGATATGAATTGATGGAATTTTTTGTTTGTTTTTAAGTGGGGGCGATAAATTGATGACAATGATGGACATTTTTGCAAGACCAACTTTAAATATTGGTAAATGACTTGTAACCCATTGTCATTTGTTCCATCAAACATACCTACATATATTAGACTAGCTGTAAAACTGATGATTATCATGTGGCTCAGCTAAAACAGCCCCGACAATCGAAAATATGGTTAAAATCTTCACACTTGCAAATTACAAGCCTAGTTACAGTGACCTTGTACTTTTGTAAACAAAATAGATTGACCTTAGCTTGTACATTTGTAAATGAACACCGCCAACAAATGGGACCGGTTTCTTGGATTTAGACCGGGTACCCATTTTTGCTCACTCCTAGACATGAAACAAGAACTAGATTATTAGAAAAAGGAAGTTATTAAATGTTTTTTTTTAGATCAAGCTTCGCTAGATCAATTATATTTTATGGAAAAGAGACCATACAAACTACTCTGAGTACTCTCTCTGTTTTAGAATAGTTTTCACACTTTCCTTTTTGTCATCTCATCTTGCCATTAGTTTCGATGGGATATAATCGGGAGAAGGGCAAAGCAATATTACCCTTATCTCAGTTGCTTGGTATGCTGGTTAAGCCCTTTATCACTAAACCTAACCAATAAGGACCAACTTATTACTGGCCATTATCTCTAACTAGATTTTTAACTTTTACATACATGTTGCATGTCTAATTTAAATTAATTCTTGGTATCGTTCTCCTTTATCATTTATGATTATAGTTATATTATGTTGTCTCATCTCAACCCCCATAACTTAATTGATTAATAATTTGATATATAATTTTACAACCCTTAATAAATTTTCTAAATAGTGACATGCTATTATACGACCCTTAACAAATTTTCTAAATAGTGACATGCTATTATACACCCTTAACAAAATTTCTGAATAGTGACATGAAAAGTACTTTAAATTATTTATAATTTTAAGAAATAATGCAACAATACCACGTGTCATGTTTTTAAGATCAAAATTATTAATTCACATAGCTCATAGCATTGACTTCACTCTAAACAAACATATATTATAGTTATATATGATATTAATCCATATAATTCAAAATACTATATGTAAATAAATAACCAAAGTTAATAAAAAAAAAAAAACACGTAAACTTCAAAGGAAGTACTTGGAGAATGTTTGTATTGGTAAGTTCTTTCAAAGTTTATTACGAATTATTAACTTTGGCGGAAATTCATTTAGCATAATAAAATGGCTTTGTAAGTTGGTATCATTTGAGTCCATGATTGCCCAAAATATTTCTAGGGTTGTCCAACACGAAGTGGGCTCGTAACACCTAACAAACACATAGTCACATCTCTTTTTCGTTGTTCCCTCCAAAAATCAAAACGACACCCATATCAACCAAAAACGACACCTCCCCCTTTCCTCCACTCCAAGATATTGGCGAAACCAAAAATCTCCTCCTACAAAAAAAAAAAAAAAAAAAAAAAAAAAAATCACAGTAGTAACACATCATACCTTCCTCCCTGAAAAATTCCTAATCTCTCTTATTCTCTCTCCTCTTTCTTCTTCCTGTAAAATTTTGAAAAACCCCTCTTTCTCTCTCTAGGGTTTGTTTCCATTTCTATCGATCGATTTCTCTCACTTTCTCTCTCCTCACCTCCAATGTCATCAATGGCGGACGATTCAATCCCGCCGCCATCGCCACCACCGTCTACGGCGGCGTCGCTAGGGCAGTCGGTGATTCCGATAGTGAACAAGCTTCAGGATATTGCGGCACAGCTTGGAAGTAGTCCTGCGTTTGACTTGCCGCAAGTCGCCGTCGTTGGAAGCCAAAGTAGTGGTAAATCGAGCGTTCTAGAAGCGCTTGTTGGCCGCGATTTCTTGCCGCGAGGTTGCGATATTTGTACTCGTCGTCCGCTTGTGCTTCAGCTCTTGCAGACTAAGAGGAGTGATGAGGAGTGGGGAGAGTTCTTGCATCTTCCTGGAAAACGATTTTATGATTTCAATGATATTCGGAGGGAAATTCAGGTATATTTATGTTGCCTTTTGAATGATTTTAGTAAGATTTTTTGTTTTTTTTTTTAAGTGAGAAATGGATGTTTTGATTTGCATTTTAGCTTTGTTTATGGAAAGTGATTGGTAAATCAGGTGTATAATGCGAATTTGAATGCTTAATTTTGAAATTGAAGTCATTAGAATTGAAATGCTTAATCATGAGGAAGAGTTGAAATGCTGCATTATAATCTAATTTTCTTTGATTGATAGCGATAATGGAAAATGATTGATAAATCATGTATAGAGTGCGAATTTGAATGCTTAATTTTGAATTTGAAATCATTAGAATTGTATGAGTAAGAGTTGAATGCTGCATTATAATCTGATTTTCTTTGCCTATTTACGAGGACGAAATGAATGTGACTAATTTGTGAATTAAGGTAGTATTTAAGTGGATAGAGTACGGTTTTGTTTAATTGATGGTTGTTTCGAAGCAGGATTGCCTCTTTAGTGTTATTACCCTGTATGAATGTCTGATTGGAAGAATACTGAATACATCAAGTTACATTTAGTCCTTTGGTGCTGAGTAGAGTGTTTAAATTAGTGTTGGGAGGTGTTAATTTTTTTGTTTTTGTTTTTTGTTTTGGCGTGGTCAATTTAAGCTTTTAATGGTGGTAAACAATGGTGTACTATGTGCTAAGGAGTTCAAACCTAGTGTTTTGCATAATGGTTAGTGACAGCAGCAAGTATGAATACTACGTTTAGGTGGAACGTACTTGAAGTATGTATTCTATATGCGTGGTTGTGTGAAAGGCTTTTGATGTGTTTCGGATGCAAGAACCAAGCAATGGACAGGTCCTAATAGACAGCACAAAGGGAAATATTTAACGGAATAAAAATTTGTCAAATTTTGGATTTACGAGAGTTTAAATCTAAGGTAACATTATATCTTATTTCTGAGCACAAAGCAAGACTAATTCAGAATCTATGGTCAATGTTCACACACAAAGTAAAACCACTTGTACAGTGTACACCTTCAAAAACTATCACTAATATTACTTACAATAAAATATGCTTCAGTTCTCAGAGAGTGTGGATTTAGGATTTACTCCTTAAGATATCTATACTGATTGGTAAAACCAAGTTTCCTTATAACTTTGAGGATGGTAGTGTTTAGTAGAGGATGGAAGTTGTGGTATTTGAATGACATCCAGTGGTATCAGGATTTAGTTCTTATGATCTCTATTGATTGGGAAGAGGAATCAATTAGCTACTTGATTTGTTATACCTGATGCTTTAATTCAGGATGTGAGAGGATTCTCACAGTTTGGGGCTTCTACTTGCTAGAAGGAAACACATATGACTCCCTTGCTAAGGTTATAGGTTCAAGAGGCCCCATGTAATTTTTTGTTTTCATTCCATCCTTTCTTAAATATGCACTAGTCAGTAGTGAAATTATGAACAGATCTATTGTAGTTAGTTGGTACATGCTGTGTACTGTTGCTGTATAAGTGAAGAAGAGTTTTATACTACTATTTTCACCCTCTTGTGCATCATATTAAATTTTTTATCTCTCCTATTGTAATTTTTTTTTTCTTCCTTTTTTTTATTATTATTTATTGCCGGAGTGGCATTCACTTGCTAAAGGAGCATTGAAAAGGCTGGATTATCGATTTAGTAGCTTTTTGC